CGATGTTGTTGAAGAAGAAGAATTACTAGCGGTGGTGCTGTAGGCACTGGCAGTGGAACTGTTGCTGACCGAAGAGCTGTGTTCCAAGGACGAGTTGTTGTCGCTCTTTAGGGTGTCTCATCGATTCTGATCTGTCAGTGGTCCACATTATAATTGGTTTCAGGTCCCTGCATTGAGACTTGGCCCCTGCTTTGGGAATATTAGCCAGAGCTGGTCCCTGTTTTGGGAAAAACCCATGGCAGTAAAGGGGCAGGCACTTGGTGCCTCTTCTGTTTGCTGCCAACGAAACCCAAACCCTGTCCTGCCATCGAGTCGCGGCATTGTGGTAGCTCGAGTGTTACGCGAATGTTGGAAGAGTCAAGGTGCTCTGGCGTCCAAAAATCATCTCTTGGGCTCAGCACCACACAACGCCGCGTATCGCCCTCCCCACACCTAAAAAACGATCATGACGGGCCTTCAAGCATCTCAGCTGCATCCTGCCAGAATGTATGCTGGTGACACAGTAGAGTATTACTCTCGAGTCTTTGTAGCGGACGATGCGCGCGGACATCGCACAGCCGTCGTCCTGAAGATTGCTGAGGACGTTGACACAGAATACCCCATTTCTGTGGACACTGGTGAGGCAATCCCGCGTGACATGATGCTGAAGCTGGCGGTCGAACGTGCTGGAATCGGTTCAAGCCTGCGTACGCTGTGTGGCGCAAATTACGCTCCTATACCCATCCCTGGAACGTGCAGCGCTCCGACGCGAGCCAGCACCTTCAATAAGGCCATCGTCAGCGCTAATCAAGATGCATTCGCCGCTACAGCCCAAGAGCTTCGTCATACACGTGAAGGATTTCCGGAGGAGATTAGCAAAAACGAGGACGGAACCGATGCCAACGCCGTAACCAGCAATAGCCATCTATCACCGCCCAGTACTGCAGCAGATGACGGGTCGGTTGTTATCATTGACTCGAGTTTGGACAATGCAGAAGGTGGCAACAACAGGGAGGGACTGGCTGTATCGCAGGTGGAAGTCTCGAAAACGCCTGAACCGGATGTAAATTTGTTGGAGAATGGGCTGCCCTCCCGCACACCTATAACCAGTGCTGAACCACATCCTGGGAGCGACCACGCCTTCGTGACTAATGAAGAAGATTTCCAGAGCGAGGGAACCACCTCATATTCCGTTGAAACGCCTGTGGAACCTCCCACTGACAAGGAGGTGTTAGACGCAGAGGAATACATTTTGTCCATACCTACGCGGCTCGAGAGAGCCAAGATCCGACACCAGCCTAGGAAACGTGCTGTTGGGTGGCACACGCCCCGTTCCAGGAAGCGACGCTATCAAGTAAAATGCGCCGTCACGCGCAGCGGAACCCAAATTCATCACGCCCGTTCCGTTAAGGCACATAAAGTGAAGGAGCTACTAAAAAATCCCGATGTGAAGAGGCGCCTTGTTGAATTGCATGAAAGGCGCCCCGTGTACAAAACGCATACGGAAAGCCGTGTGCAGTTGGCTGAGCTCCCGTGGCCGGCCGGAATTCGAATGATAGTGGAGTGCGAGGCCAATGGTATAACGTTTCCGGACCTGGGTTCGTTCGACAAGT